ACAATGTTATTATTTCTACTAACTCTTCTGTTGATAACTTTGTCAATTACGCTACTATCATCATTTCAACAATAACTCATAATCATATTATTTCCAATACTGCCTTTGGATTAATTTTGACGATTATTTTACATATATATATATATATATATATGTATATATATAACCAATCTTTACAGATGCGGAACCAAAAATAGCCGTGGATGAATGAAAAAATATAGGTACAAAAGCGGGGAAAATCAGACAGTCAACTTCGGGGAGTAACATTTTTTTGTTTGTTTACTGCACGCCATTTTGAGTTTTTTTCGTTTTGCAGACAGGGGAGGATACATTCGCACCACTAACTTTTGTTGGATGCCATATCCCGCAGTGTCTCCAGCCAAAGACAATCTGAATCTTTGGGACCCGAGCCGGGAAACCGGGGAAACCATAACGGAAGCCAGATCCGAGCACAATCTCTTTAACCACGTCATAACCTGCCCACCTCGCTATTTCTTCCAGCTTGGACCGATGTCTGCGAATAGCGCACGGTGTGGCAGACGTTCCTCAGGCATTCGTAGGACTTACTCAAGCCACCTAAGGCGATGCAGTGAAATAGTTTTGCTCAGTGGAATACTATCTGATCCTAACACACTTCGTCTGACCTCATTGTTATTCACTCGATGCTCCCACCATACGCGGGCATTGTTGCGCAGACAGCGGTTGTCAAAGACTGATAGTCGCTGAACGTGATCTGCTCAGAAAGGCCAGGTCTCGCAGCCATAGAGCAACGCGGCGCGTACCGTTGCGCAATACACACGCCCTTTCAGTGAAAAGGATATGTCGCGCCGGCTCCAGAGATGTCGCAGATTGGCAAACGGTAATCTAGCTTTGATCACGCGTTGCGCACACCCTCGCCAGCCGTTACACAACTCCCAAGCTAGACAAAACTTTCGAATACCTCCAGAGTATCATTACCCAACGAAAGTGCAGGAATGGACTCCTGCCAATCTTGCAACAACACTTTGCACTTTGAAGGTGCAAATAACATGGCGAGTAACCTCAATTGCTAAACGGTTCAACGACTCTTGAATTGTTTGTGCGCTGTCACGCAGTAAGACAATATCATCAGCATACTCTAAGTCTACGACTATGTCCTCAGGAAGAAGCTCGACGCCAGTGTTCGTCACCTTATGGAACGCATTCTGTAGGATATCGTCTATGGCAAAGTTGAAGAGAAACGAAGAGATAGGGCAACCCTGTAGTACCCCACTGGTGACAGGAAACGATGGTGAAAATTCACAATAACGCCCTAACCTTCCCCGAGGTCTGGTGATAGAGCGCTTTTAGGAGTGAGACATACTTCTCGGGTACTCCGTATCTCCGCAAACAGTTCCACAGTGCAGGACAATCGATAGAGTCGAAAGCCGCACTGATTTCTAAAAACACGATAATGGTTTGCCGTCTATGTGCTTGGTGGTGTTCTAGTAGCTGACTGAGGGTGAAGGTTTGATCGATGCAGCCACGGCCTACTCCTCGCGGGTTTGCTTCTCACGGAATGGGCAGAACCTGCGTAATAAAACGGACGCCAGCAGCTTCGGCCCTATTGAAATCAGACTTATGTGCTTGTGGTTGGAACAGGTGTTGCGATAGCCCTTGTAAATGGGTATGACAATTGATTCTCCCTATGTGTGAGGTACACTTTTAGTCTCCCAGATCTTCGAGAATAATCTCGCAAGTTCTCTTACGAGAGCTTCTCCATCATCTTTAAAGAGGGCAGGTGGCAGGCCGTCTGATCCATCTGCCTTGTGGCGTTTCAGGGCTTCGACTTCCTTTCGGATCTCCGCTTCTGTGGGCGAACCTGTGGATAGTGACCAGGGTGCACTTTCAA